GCAAGCAGTTACAAACTGGGCATAACAAAGCACAGCGTTACACAGTCATGGGGTAGCTTGTAAACCACCATGGCAAATGCAGTTCTGGTTTTATAAAGTGAAAAATCTTCGAGCTATTTCCTTTCCTTGGGATGAGGAAGTAAAGAGAATATAGTTCTTGCCGTGCTAAGCCCACTGAGCTAGAATTTGACCAGCTGCTGCTGTGCTGAAGGACATTTGGAAAGGGCTGTTGCAGCTCTGACCTCAGCTTGCAGGGGCTGATTGTGCATGACATCCTGAGGTAGGTTCAGGCACCCTCAGAGATGCTCTCCTGGCATGGCTCAAAAACCCCAAAGCAGCAGCAGAAGGGGAAGGAAGTGACCAGCTGGCTGACCGTGGCAGAGAGCTCATTTTCTGGGTGCTGTAGGAAGCCTGGCAGAGGCTGAATTTCCTCTGTGCACCACAGGCTACCAGGGTTCCTGAAGGCACTGAAATGGAGTATCAGAGCACTTTTAGCCCTTCCTTCCTCTTTTGTAGGAACAACATTGATTGATAGGAGCCATAGTGATAAATTTTTGCTAAGGCAGTCAACAAGCCTTCAGCTCTGGGTATTACCAATAATTGCAATACAATTAGAAGCCCTTCTTGTCTCTCTCAGCCTGATGGAGGCTGTGTGATAGCACTGAAATCTTCTACAGCTGATTTGCAGGAAGCTAAATTTCTGCCAACCTTTGAAGGCTTTGCTGAACAGCTTTTTTTTTAAGCAAGGCTGAAAAGGAAGAATGGGGAAGAGTCCTGGTGGTTTTTTTTTTTATGCAAACTTTTGAGTTGAAAGTTTTCCAGGCAAAAGGAGTGCTATCAATCAAATATTCATAACCAGATCTGGAGGAAAACGTGGCTTGTTGGAGCAATGTCATTTAAAAATATGCCTGAATATATTTAGGGAGCTTCTGTTAAGAGTTAGAGCAAAGTCTCTAAAGAAGGAAAATGGGGGGAGAGGGGAGGGAGCTCATATTGACATGTTCAAATCCACTTCCTACATAGAATATAATACTAGAAATTTACTTTTTTCATTTCACAGGTTCTAAAGGTTTTGCTTTAAAGGTCAGTGCAAGGATCAGTTACCACAGGCATAGCACTTCCCCCCGTGTAATGAGATTAGTTGCACTGATAATTGCTGTCCCAATCCTATTTTGACTGTTGGGTTCTTGGTGATCAGCATTTTATATGTCTGCAGCCTTGGAGTTTTCAGCAGCTTGAGATAATGTCATCTTTAGCAAGAACAGATGCAGTAAAACACAGCTCAGTGAACAGGACCACAGGATTCATCAGGATAATTCATCAGGCTTTTACATCTCTGTTTTTATCCAATAATGGCAAATTTTGCAGCTCAGGTACTATAAAGATAATAATTCAGCTATGAATTATCATTAATACTTCAAGTTACTACTATTTTTTGAAAATAAAAGGGGTTTTTGTTGCACTATCTGTAATTTTTTCTTTTTTCCTTCTATATTTTATTCTTACCAGCAACATTTCTCCCTTCCACTATACCAAAACGTAAAAGTGTGGAGATCAGGGCAAGGTTTTTGCCCTCTTGTTTCAAAATACAAGGAATAAATTAATACTGTACTTGATTCCCTAACAGCTTAGATACACATTTGTAATTTTGTTCCTGCAGTGCCTTTGAGCTGCTTATTGCCCTGCACAAATCCCTGTCACAGATTTCAACTCCCAGCAAGGCTGCCTTTTGTTCCTGCAGTTACCTACCCTCAGACTGGAGTTTGTTGGATGGGCTTTATCATCACATAAACAGTCATTTGAAGAAGAACAATAGCAGTAACATTTTATCAAAATCTGTGTGTGAATTTCCTGATGTTCCTGTTATTTGGATTAAAACCAGTATTTCCTCAACAGAGACTCACTGCCTATCTTGACCTTAGCCTGGATAAGTGCTATGTGATTCCTCTGAACACATCAGTTGTTATGCCACCCAAAAATTTCCTGGAGCTGCTCATCAACATCAAGGTATGGTGACATCCTAAGTGATTTGTTCTTATGACAAGGGAAAAATGAGATTTTTCTTGTTTTTCTCCCTTTTTTCCCCCCAGAACTCTCCTAGCCACACAAGGCAGATGTGTTAGAAAGCTAACTGTTCACTAGAGATCTTCACAAAGAGAGAAAAAGTCAATAACCTTCTTAGTTAATTAACTCTAATTGTGAAGGAATTACTAATTCAGAGGAAGCAAACAAACCTGATTTCATTCTTTGATGTTACACATTTGATTGACAAAATTATGTAGTTGTGATGTACCCAGACTCTTTGATAAGAGCCCACGTGGGTTTTAATTTATAATCCCTTGTGAGCAAAGTTCCAGTAAAGCATCTCTGTGCTGGGCTAAGACTGGTTAGCTGAGAGGCTTAAAGTAGATACACTGGGCAATCCTTTTAACGTGGTCATTGTTTAACACAGGTCCCTGGGGGTGGCCCCTGCTTTGGGCTGATCCAGTGGCCTTGGGGTGTGCTGGATCTGCTCAGGAAGATGAGATGTGCCACTAGATGGGCACCAGTGCTGGCTGCAAGTTCATGAGGCTTCCAGCAGCCTTAGATGGATCTCTCTGCTTCCAGGGAGGGTTTTTTTAGGATTTGAACTGTGTGATGAGCAAAGCAGGAGGGTTTTTAGTGGAGCCCCATTGCTGGTTCTGAAGCCCCAGACCTCCGGAGTGTGTTTCAGGACACAACAAGGCCCCTGGGAAGGACTGACTACCACAGCCACTGAACCAAGCCAGGAGAGGGGCTCTCAGGATGATGTTGTGGCAGCAGGGGTTTGAGGAGAGGACACCAGTTCCTGGCCTGTGTGCTGGTGCTGGCTTCTCCTCCCCACGGGGACACGCTGCTCTGGGGGGCTGATAATGGCCTGAAACATAATGGCCTGTGAAATTGAGAAGGCCAAAGCAGATAATCCAGTGGAGTCTCCTGGTGGTTTAATGTGAATCATCTTTATCTTTTTTTTTTTTTTTTAAACTCTTTTTGCTTTTAATGCAGATTTAAAGAGTATTTACCTTGTTTTTCAGCCTTTTGGTTTCTTTACAGAACAGCAGAACCCTCCAGGTGGGGCAGGGAGTTGTTCAGCTAGCTCGTGGCTAACATTTGGGGAGGCTGTTTGGAACTTTATATAACTTTGGAATTGTTGGTATCATCTTCAGGGTCTGCATCTTTCAAACAAGGCTTTGGAATTAGGACTCCAGGAATGATTTTAGCCATTTCTGAGTGCTTCATGTATACAAATAAATTTCATGTGAAAAATGACTTCACCAGCCCTCTGCTGCTTTTCTGCTGCCTATTTTGAGACTGTTTAACTACACTTTCATTTCCTGTACCTAAAAAGGAGGTGGTGTCTGTAAGACTGAGTGACCCCATATTGTTTTTACTTGGTGTATGCTGTTTTGTTTCCATTCTTAGCTCCCAGAAATTCCACCCTTAAAATCTGTTGATTTCCTAGTTTGTTGTTGGTGCTAACTCAAATTATGCTTGGTTCACAAGTAAAGGGATAACCAGGCATCACATATTTCATGGAAAATCTGCAAAAGCAAATTGTTTTGAGCATTGTCCCCAGCAGTGGGTGTCCTCGTTTTCTGAGACATCTGTTTAATTCTCATTGTATTAACAAAAAGCTGTGGGCATTTGACAGCTCAGAAAATGAGGTTAAATGTTTTGTAACTGAAATTTGGGAAATTATCCTGCAGATGCACAGGGTCAGTAAATTCTCTACACTCTCTCAGTGGTTGCACAAGGGGAAAAAAAAAGTGTGAAACTGATACAGTAACTTACAGTGATTTAATTACCAACTAATGAGTGGGATAATTTGGGAGTGTGAAGTCTTACAGGCTCTTGTTTAAAGAAAACCAATTTACTGATGGTTTCCTTAAAGTACGTGCTGAAGAAGATTTGCATAATTTAAAGTGAATTTAATAGGGCCCTTTCTTTATTGAAAGGAACAGCATCTAATCAGCTTCTTCTCAACGTGTCTCTTGGACTGACAAGACTGTCTTATTTTGCAGCTGAAATATCAAGTTGTTTATTGTCAGTAAAATATAACGGTAATCTTTGACCACAGACACTGAGTTTGTTTCCATAATAAGTGATCATTTTATCATTAGAAGCAAGCAACACTTTTTCATGACTAAGAAAGACACTAAGTGAATTTCTTAACTGAAGGAGTATTTCAGAAAAGCTGATTAGTTACCAGTGGCAGTGTTAGGAAATGGGCTGATAGCTGCCTGTGGGCATCTGTGGGCATGTGTGAGCCTGTCCAAGGCTTCCCAAACCCTGTGGACTGCAGCTGGAGCACACTCATTAAAGGTATCTCCATGCAGGGCATGCTCCTGCCAGCACCTATCTGGGAGTCGTTCCCACTGAGGTCTGTTGGGCTGTGAAGTGAAAACTGTGGATGGGAACTGCAGGACTGGTCCCTGGCAGCGGGTGCACCGGGGAGGAAACATTTCTTCTCTGCTGAAGACTGATGTTACTGGAGCAGGAGGATGATGGGTGTGTGATTCAGTGGAAGTTTTGTGGCCTTTCTGAGTACAATCTTTTTGTCTTCCTGTGCTGCAGTGATGTTTGTACATTGGGAATGAAATCCTGTGGGTAATGTGTCTGTTGAAAGGATGAGCAGCAGCTACGTCACAGCCGCGTTAAAGAAACACACTGCAGAGCGTTCCTCGTGTGCTCAGACCACCACGTGGTGCCTTTTGACAGCTGTTGCATTTTTGTCCCACAGGCTGGGACCTATCTGCCTCAGTCCTACCTGATCCACGAGCAGATGGTTGTCACGGACCGCATCGAGCACGTGGACCAGCTCGGCTTCTTCATCTACCGCCTGTGCCGCGGCAAGGAGACCTACAGGCTGCAGCGCAGGGAGGCCCTGCGAGGTAAACCTGCCTCCTCCAGCCTGGGGGGCTTCTCAGCCCCTCCCCTAGGCTTGGGAGTAAGGCATCCTGTTGTGCAAGAGTGCTCAGGGCTCCAGCAGGGCAGGAGCTGCTCGAGTGTGTGTGTGTGTGTGTGTGCATGGGTGTGTTTTCTAGGTTCAGGCGTTCATTGGTGCTTTTCTTTTAATCTTCTTTCTTGACCCACCCCTCCCAAAACCAAACAGACTTTAATCTATGAGAAGCCATAGGCTTGTAGTCCAAGCACAGAACTGCAGGTTCTTGTCCCTAAAGCCATCTGTAAAATAGTCCTTGTCTGCCTGTTTGCCTCAGCAGAATGTGAGTGAGGGCTGGCTGAGCAGGGAGCTGTAGTGCTCGGTACTCCTTTATGGAAAATGTTGGACAAACAGCATTTGGAAGAGTCTTGCTGACCTGTTAAACACCACCTTAAAATTTTCACTCAGCTTTGCTTCTTTTTTTTTCACCTGGATGTGATGTGCAAGTGCACACTGAAGCAGTTTTGTTTCTTTTGTTGTATTGTTGGCCCTGACTGCTTGGGAAAAGAAGGAAAAGAAGAAGATATTCTATAAAAATAATTTAGAACCAGGTTTAAAGATGAAAAGGTCTTACCAGCAAAACCCAATTCAAAACTGGATTGTTGATCCTGGGGTGATAAATGATGAGCATAGGTTGGCAGTGAGCTTTAATTTGGCTAAAATTTGGTTATATTCTGTCTTTCTCTGATTCTAAGATGTTGTTTAAATACATCCACTCTTTTTCTGCCTATGGTGGCTTATTTGCTGTTCCCTCTCTCGTGTCACCACAAGTGTTCTTACAGCTGCACAGAGAGGGAGGTGAGGAGCTGATCTGGGCTAAAACTGCCAGTGAGGGGCTGTGGTGACTTGGGTTTAGCTACACCAGCACTGTGATTAGTGCACATCTGGGGGATCAGCTCCTGCTTATTGATTTTCTAAGCATGAGTGAGTGCCTGCGTGTGTTTGGGTGGTTCTGATCTCTGGGGACATCTGATTATGGGAAACAGAAGAGTCCTAGGTGTCTGATGTACCTCTCCCTGCTTCTGTCTGCCCTCCCTGGCTCTTCCCTGACCCCAGCAGGGATCCAGAAGCGCGAAGCCCTCAACTGCCGAAAGATCCGGCACTTTGAGAACAGGTTTGCCATGGAAACACTCATCTGTGAGCAGTAAGGAGGAGCAGCCCTGGGCCAGGAGACTTCAGCCCACAGTGAGACCCCACCCTTTCTATTGTGTGCAGTGATGATTTCATTTTAAGATCTTCTTTTATGTAAGTAGTGGACAGGGCTTTACTGCTGAACACTTTCTGTACTTTTCATCTCATGATACATGTCCAATCAGTATGGTTTAGGGTTTTTTTTTTTTTCTCCTTACTTTCAGGTGTGGTGTTCTTCTGTTTGAATAGCAGTTGTATAAAGACTTAGTTGGTAGTGCATTTCAGGTGATGCCTCTCGAGTGCTAGGAAGAGGAGGAAGTCTTTGCAATATCCACCCGTTTTTAATTAAGTGAAATCGAAAAGAATTATTAATGTACAAATGGACTGCAAGAGCTACTTCTAACTGTAATATTACCTGCTCTCTAGTTTGTTACAGCATATAGACAAACCTGCATTTGCCTCTCCCTAACAAAGTGCAATTTGTTTCGTTTTTAAAATATTGTCCTATTTACCTTTTTAGATTGATTTCTGACTTGATGTTTTCAGATGGCGTTGGCTGTAACAATCTTTTAGAAAATTAAGAGGTAACTTATGTTACTAACTTGTATATAATCCATATATGTGCAATGGAAAATAAACCTTATAAACCCGTTTGTCTAAAAGTCTTGTGTTTTCTTTTGCTGATATTGGGGTTTTTTCTTGAAGGAGGGGACTACAGTTAAATTTACAATCAATGCTTTTTACTTACAGCTCTTGTTTTTAAAAGTGAGAAGATAAAAGGGAAAAGGTGACGTCCAAGAAATGAAATGTGAACAGAGAAGCACATTTTGCTGTTCCTTTTTCATTTAAAGGCAATATTATGCTCCTTGCTTAAAATCTGGGTTGGTATTTCCTCAGGATAGACAGAGTGGAGGTCTGAAGCTGACTCAACCTGTTGTTAATGTCTGAACTCCCTATCCTGAGTATTTGTGGCATGCTCCAGGTTAGGTATTTTGTTTGACGAGTCAGCCTGACCCAGCTGAGGGCCAGGAGACTTTGCACTTCCCTTTCCTCAGCCTCGTGGCATTCCTCTCAGCCTGTCCCATCAAGCTCCTCTGGAGCTAACCCACTGATGCCAGTCTGTGTCATGCCATCTGCACCTAAAACTGCTCTTCTTAAAGCAAGCTTGGATTTTTCTGTGTCAGTGGTATCTTTGTAATGGCAACTTTTGTACTGTAGGGCTGAGTGTGGAGTGCAGGGTAAGAGGTATAGATGGTACCTGCTGGTTGTGAAGCTCATTGCAAGAAACAATACAGGAGAGAGAGAAAGGGAGTAACATTCAAATCAAGGCTGGAAAATCTGCCCAAAATCCCCTTCTAAGCTTCTGTAATATGGGAAGTGACTTGTCTTTATGAACAAGTTTTGAGCATTGATTTATCAGGAAAATAGGAGGGTTGATTAGAGTATTTGCATATTTGCATTTTAAAAAAAACCCAAACAAAATAACAACTGCTTAAACTGACTTTTAAAGAATATGTGCCACAGGTGTCCAGATCTTTTGTCTTGGGTTAAATCAGTCGAGAAGCTTTGAAACAACCTTATTTTTCCATCTTTTGTAGGATCTTTTCTTAATATAGAGGGAGGATTCTTGACTGGGATTGGAGCTATTACACAACTGTAAACATGCTATCCTCCAGCTTCCAGCTATTGTGAATGTTTGGATGGAGATAAAATAATTTGTTTTAAAGGAAGTTTCTTAAATACACAATACTTTTTTTTTTTCCTTCATCTGCATTTGGCTTGTTTCCAGTTTAGTCTTAGTGTCAGTGCATTATATATAAAATGAAAAGTATAACTGCAGGGGTAGGTCACGGGTAGGTCCTTTGGAACCCCAGGAGATGCAAGATTGAGGCATGTTTCCTCTTCTCATGTGTGTACTTTTCTTGTTTCCCAGAAGCTGACATGAAACTTCATGATTTTTAAGTGAGTCTTACATCATCTCTTAACTTGTTTTCAAAATAAACCTCAGAAACTTCGTGGTCCTTTGGCCACACCAGCAAATGAAGCTGCTGAAGGGGTGGAGGAGGTGGGGAGAAATCGATTTGTTCTTCTAGACAGGAGGTTTGTGTGGCCACGCTGCATGCCTGTGTTCCTGATAACTTGTCAGCCTGCTGGATGGCAGAAGGAAATGGATTTCCCTCAGCAGTGTGAAAATCAGTGTGAGGGAGGAGGGGGAAACTCGTGTGCACTGAGGGAAAGCTCCCAGCATGGCCTCACCTCTTATTAAATGCCAGGCAGTTTGTATGGGAAGAAGACATAAAACACCCTGAGTGCAGGAAAAGCTCTTGGAGCTTCTGCCCCTTTTGGAAAAAAAAATAGCTCTAGGAGCTGCTTGGGCTTTTTTTTTAATAAGTTTTTTAAAAAATAAACTAAACAAACATAGCTGTGCTATACTGAAGCAAACCCCATTTCTAGTCCAACGAATTCCAGAGAAGGGCTAGTACAAAAATGACCTCATTGAACAATTATCTTTGCAAATGTTTTTAAAGCTGCTTGTAAGAGAGAAAACGGATCCTCATGCTGAGACACACTTTGCCACTGGAACAGCAGGATCAGAGAAGAGCCACTATCCCATGCCAGCCTCCTGAAAGGGTTCTAGTGATGGCAGGACAAGAGGAAACGGCCTCAGGTTGTGCCAGGGGAGGTTTAAGTTGGGTATGAGGAAGAGCTAACAGGCTGCCAAGGGAAGTAACCATCCCTGCAGGCATTTAAAGATGTGGTGTCTAAGGACAGGGTTCAGTGGTGACCTGGCAGTGCTGGGTTAATGGCTGGGACTTGATGGTCTTGAAGGTCTCTTCCAATTGGAACAATTCTGTGATTTCTGGGTCTGGAGCAGCCTCTGATGTTCAGTAGGCCTTTGCATGTGTAAGGCTTTTGTCACCAGCTGGTGTGTGGTCTGGGCTTGCAAAGCATGATAAAAACTCCCAAGTCTTCCCTCCTCTGGTTGAGGTCTGGCAGCTCTGCTGAAGACCCGTGGGGCGAGTTTTGGCACGCAGAAGATGCTGCAGGGCAGAGGACACAGGAGTTGGGTTGCCTGTTGCAAAGGGAAGCCGTGGGCTTACCCAAAGCAATGTGCACAGACGTTGCAGAGGCAAGAAGCAGGGGCTGGATTCATTGGAAGATCGTTTCCAGCTGCATGGGGAGCGTGGAATCCAGCAGAGGTTTATGGAGGCCACCAGCTGAGATCTGTCACCACTGTCCTCTGGAAAGGTGGGCACGTGCTCTCTTTGGGCTGGGTTGCACGGGAGGATGGGAGCCTGACTTGGCTGCGTTAGCAGGAGCCTGTGGTGTAGAAATAATGAGCAGAGTTGTGCTCTTCCTGGCATTGTTTGTTCTGATCCTAGGAGGATATTTTACTGTTCTGGGGGAAGCAGCACAGAAGAGCCTACAGCATTGTTTTCCTGCTGGAAGTTTTGCTGGCATACTCTAGGCAAGCATTTCACCTAACCAGGGTGTTTCACTGCCATCCCTTGGTAAAGAATGGCATCATCTCGGGCACAGTCTGAACAGAAACAAAAATCCAAGACCACAGGTTCCATTCAGACAGTTTCCTGTCTCCTCACTAATTTTCGACTTTTTCAGGGTGGTGGTTAAAATGAATTTGCTTCCTGAGAACTCCTTCCACGAACTAGAGCATGTTCTGCTTCTTGTGGGCTTAGGAAATCCTGGAAGAGGAGGCCCAGGGAACATCCTTGCTGGGAGCCCGCCAGCAGCAGGGTGCTGGAGGGGAAGCAGAGCCTGGGGCTGAGCAGGACGGGAAGGGAGGGGACCCAGCAGGGTCATTAGTGTGGGTCATTAGTGTGGCCCGGTAATTGCAAGCCACAAAAGGGTTGGTGGTGGCTTTGTTTGTTTGGTGACCTTTATTTTGTTACCAGTTGTCACCCACTGGACTGGCACTGCCAAGGTGAATCTCCAGTCCCCTGGAAAAGGGCTCTTCCTGCCCAGCAGGGCCACAGAGGTGGTGAAGCCACGACAATGACTCAGAAAACAACACAAAATGTGACTTATTGGCTCTTCCTCATGACAATAAGTGTTGTGGACAAAGGCACGTGGTCCAACACCTGTTTCCCTCCTTGCAACGTAAGGCTAAAAATGTGGCACTGCTTAATAAAAATGAGGAGAAGAGAGAAGATAAAAGAGGAAGGAGATAGGAGAAAGTTAAAAGTTATCCCCACCCATGGATCCAGCAGTGTTGTCCTGAGTCGGGGTCCTGGACCTAACGTGGTGGGTCAATGCCAATTCTTTTGTGTCTTGAGTTTCTGTAGAGATTTGTCCTCCTCTGGGGGTGTTTCTAAGTTGTTGGGTGGTCTCCAAGTGGGGGGGTGTGTATCGTAGACTTGAGAGTCTTCTCAAAATGAGCCAAGGGGCATTTCATGGCGTCTTGGGTGGTCATTTTGGTCAGGTACTCCCTTAAAGTGGCTGACTGGTAGTTGACCCCATCCATGAAGTTGGTCGGTCCTGCCTCTGCTGGGCCCCACCAACACCTCCCCCATCTCCACTGGAGAGCCTGGACTCATCTAAGAGTTTTGAGGGGAATTTTCCTCACCCTGGACCTGGAGCAGGCGGGGGCTGCAGCCGGGCATGCCAAGGCACCTTTGGTACCAGGGTCTGGGCACCTCCCACGAGCAGGGAAAGCTGTATGGGAACCAGCAGGGGTTTTCTGAGGCAGCTGCCCTTGCACGAGGGCTTCATCTGATAGATTGGAGCAGCCAAGGATTTCATTTTCCAGTTCCCTGATCCTCAGTGCTAGCAGAGATCTGGGGCTTTGCACACAGGCCTCATACTCCTCACTTCAGATAGAAAGAGGCTTTGAGCTGTCAGAGGTCACATCTAACAAGCACTTCTCTGCTTCTTCATCATGGCCCCTATGGTCGACCACCAGGTGCACTTAAATCCAGTTTCCCTGTTGGAGGTATTTCATTTTTATGCAAACTGAGCAGCCAGCTCCTGCCATGTCTGAGCAGCATGGGTCCAAGTCAGGCTTGGTTTCTTTTGCAACAAAAGCAGGACTTCTATTCCCACTGGCAATTGGAACTAGAGCAACAGTTTTAAGTGAAAAAAAAAAACCCAAAAGATAATAAAATTACTTAAGATTGTGCAGCAGCTGGAAACAGTGAGTCAGGGCTGCCTGTTCCACAGGCTGCCATCTGTCTGTGACCTACACTTTAAAAACTGTTGTAGCAAGATGTTTAGAGTAAAGATATTGTTGGGTCAGAGGAGAAAATATCATTAAAACTTTTATTTGACCTTGTGGTGTTTCCTTTGTTTATTTTTTTTTTGTCTTTCCCAGTCAGAGCGATTTTTTTTCTTCTCTTCTTTGTAATTTTATTCCAAAAACCTAAAGTCTCAATATGAAAGAAAATGCTTTGAAATACAGGATTAAAACATTCAAATCAGCATAGCTAACAAGGGAGGGGGAAAAAGCTCAGCAATGTACCCATGGTTTACACATGCCTGTGCCTTTTTTTGGAAGGACACACACACAGGTGGAGTCTTCTTGTACTAAGGGATGTCTGAATCCCACTGCAGTCTACAAGTCAAATATTTTGAGTTTATGTGCCTTGATTTGCCTCAGAAATTCCATTTGCTCTCTATTCACTCTTCTGTAACTGGTTTGATTCGA